GGGAATGAAAAGTGAACTGGGCTTCTCGGACCAGCCCCAACCAAAAGCTTCGGAATGAACGCGGTGATTCAATTTTTGCTCCCGTTCCTCTTCTCCAGCCTCCACAGACCTGACGGAGAATGGGATCAGTCTGGCGAAGGGCTCGGACCCCACAGCGGTAAGAGAGTCTGCGGCTTCGCTAGCAGATGGGATGTTTTCGGTGGGGGAGCCAGGCAGTTTCAGTGGGGCAGGGAGTAGAAATCCAGTCTAGAGTGGGGTAGTTTTTGTGATTGTGACAAGGGAGTCGCTGAGACGACATAAATACATACCAGAGTCCCACATTGTCATCAAAACATGAACTGCTGGCGGATGATGTGTGTAGGAGGAAGGGACATAATCGCTAACCCATCCAAAAACCCATGGATGGCAGTATGTTTATGCGTGAATACAGTGTTTGTCTTACCAGTAAAGTCTCGATCAGGATTGTGTCAGTCTGGTGTGGTCGAGGTTACAAACCTGTGCTTGTTTCGGGTCCACTTAGTCTCAAGCACATCTGTGATTGGCTGGACCTGAACAAGTAGGAGGGGCCTGGTGTTTCCATGCGTGTCTGTGACCCATGTTCATTGTTAGGCTAGCAGGCGTTAATTGGAGAAAGGAGGAGGTTGGCGTCTGATTGCAGGGTTATTGTAGAGTTGCAGCGTGCGAGCTAGTGGTTCATGGAGGTGGACAGCTAATCAAGGTGGAAAGGAGCTGCTGCTGTTTGGTTTTGAGATGCTGCTATATCTTTTACATGCGTATAGTTCAAAGCTTGATAACCCCAACATACCCCAGTGATCCCCAACCCTTTGGATACTCTTATTTGTCTCATGGTCCCACATTATTTATTTTTTTTATCAATTTGCTTAGCAGACGTTCCTTATCCAGAAATATCCTTATCCAAAATACACAGGAATACATATTGTAAATGTGAAAAAACAGGAATGACAAAGAAACAGGTGAGGTCTGTACATTAGCAGTACAGTGCCTGTACAGCACAGGGTGTACACAGTGTTCATTTGATCTTGTGCTCTCTCCTCTCTCCTTTCCACTCTTCCCAACTCTGTCATCCCCTGTCCCCCCCAATTTCCTCCCAGCCGTCTCTCCCGGAGTTCCACAGCGTTTTCCAGGTGGTGTTTGTGGATCCCTCAGGACACCTCAACCTCTGTGCGGACATGACAGCCAGCACCTACAGACAGGTGAGGCTCGGGACTGATCTGGATGGGCCGAGCTGCGCTGGGCAGGACTTCGCAGAGCTGGGTTCCCCTGGGTGGGACCCAATCGGGCAGGATGGACTGGTCTCGGCTGGGCCTGGACTCGTGTGGGATGGGTTGAGGTGCGCTGTGTGACTGTTGCTCCCTCTGTGTCCAGGTGCAGCAGGAGGCAGCTCTGTCTCTGCAGTTTTGGGATGACCCGACACTGGACAGCTTCCAGGCCCTGCTGATGACCCCTAAGCCCCTGCTCAGGAGCTACGATCACGTCTTCCAGTCAGTACCGAGCTCAGTCTCCACTCCTGTGCACATCACTCTCCAGACCTCGCTTCTCTGCACCTCCACTCTCAACTCCCTCAGTCTCGGTATAGAGACATATATTAAGATTCATAAGGGTGGTCACTTTGGTGTCCTGGCCATATCTCCCCCTGGCCTTTACCAATCATGGCCTTTAATAATCCCCATCTCTGAACTGGCTTCATCACTCTGTTCACCTCCCCACTGAGAGCTGGTGTGTGTGGGGACTGTACTGGTGCTATCGCATCATCCAGGTGGGGCAGCACACTGGTGTTTGTGGTGGGGATCCCCTTTACCTGTAAAGCCCTTTGAGTGGAGTGTCTAGAAAAGCGCTATATAAGTGTGAGGATTATTACACTTCTCCACACTCCTTAGTCACAACCTAGAGCTGGTTACAGGCTGAAGATGCTCCATTTCCTCGTTTGTCATCCTTTCCCTGCTCTGTTTTAGTTCCGTCTTCATTTTTCTCTTTTTTTACTTCTATTTGCCATTGATCCGTCCTCTATTCCCCTGCTATCCGTTCCTCCCTGATCCTCATTCCTTCCCTCCCTCTCGGCCTGCTCTCCTCTTTCTTTCCTCGCTCTCCATCTTTATCCTGTCTTCTGTCACCTCCTGTTTGTTTGACCTCTCTGTCCTCCCTGCCCCTCAGGCTGTGTGAGCTGGTGAAGCTGCAGTCAGCCTGTAAGAAGCTGGACCTGCTCGCTGAGCTCATGGACCACAGTGGGAACTATGTCATCACTGCGCTACCCTTCATTCTGTCCCTCCTGCAACGAGGGCTGGGAGAAAGGATCCGCCTGCTGACCCACTCGCTGCCTCCAGCCCCTGAGGTAACGCTGTCGAGAGCTCCTCTGACCCACGCCGTTTCTTCTTCCTTCCTGTGAGAATCCTTGGAAGCCTTCAGGGTGCTCCTGTGTATTTTGGTAGTGTCTGTCTTATCAGTACACCACTACCCCTGTGATCTTTTTCCAATCCAAAGCACAATCCCCATTCTCAGGATCAAAGGAATATCGTAAAGTGACAGGCTGTAAAACTATAGATAGATTATAACAGGAGCACATTCAAGTAGCCATTCATAAAGTCTACACAAGAGACTTCACAGATTCACCCATCAGGGTGAAGCAGGTAGCACTACAGAGAAATGCATTAAAACAGAGCAGGAGGCACTGTTTTACACTATGAGTTATGGGTGCCTAAGACAAGCTACCCAGCCATGTCATTGAAATTGATACCATTGTTACTTTAAAAAAATAGGATTAATTTGCTGATAAGAACAAAATTAGCGAGGTTGGCCTAATCTTCTTTCTTTTTCAAACTTTGTGCTCCTGTTTTTCAATCCAGATGACCTGGCCTGTAACAAAACATGCCTTAATGCTGTTGTGTGTTTTTTTTTTTGCTATAGCAACCAGCTTTGGGTTGGATAAACAGCAGAGGCAGTGAACAGTGAACAAGTCTTTGTC